TGTTCAGAGGCTTGATGTTGAAAATTGTGGCTCAAAAGAGGATTCTATTTTATTTAACATTAGGAGACTATGTGGTCTTGGTGGCAGAAAAAAAAATTGACTTGTTAATAATTCTGAAAAAGTATTTGAAGCCTGAGAAATTGTCCGAGCAGGGAGGAAATGAGGGAACATGAGGAAACATTGCATTCCTCCTGTACCAAGGATGGACTCAACCCAGAACACAGCCAATTAAGTAGAGTCATGATGTGAGAATGAGGATAGTAACATATACTGTGACCTAGAACATGGGGAGTAAGATCTTGATATTGTAGACAATATCTTGTCTTCTGCTAACTGGGCCCATGGTGTAGATAAGAAACTTAATATTTGGGCTCAGCACTGTTTCTCTTGCCAATACACGGGTCTTCTGACCCAAAGGGACTTCCACTAGAAGTTGGAGCATTGAGCCACTGGCTGGGAGGGGCATGTGGGAGTGAGACTAAGATGGTTGTGTTGACCTTCACTATCTGTGTGGAACCACATTGGATTCCTCCTAGTGTTGAATCATTTTACTGGACAATGGGGATGTCAGGAGCATCTCTTCCAAAGACTTAAGTGACTACACACATGCTTTAAAGAATGAATGGCCCAAGTAAGGCTTCCTTGTGCTGCTGTTATTAAGATTGTAGTGGTAGCTATTATCACTGTACCTAACAGAACTATTGGAATACAAGGCAGACTCAGGAAATAGCTGTTTATCAGAACACCATCTGTGATGAGAAAAGAGGGAACATGGAAAAAAATGTTGCTTGATAAACAGAGGCTACGGGGGTGGAGGAGAGTCAGGTCCAAATGTCAGAGCTGGATCAAAGTACCAAAGTCCTCCTTCTCACACCTAAAATTGAGACAGCATCTCACCATGTAGTTCTAGTTGGTTGGTCGGAAACTTGCTATGGCAGGCCTCCAACCCACAGAGATCCACCCACCTCTGCCTCCTAAGTGCTAAAAAATGATAATTTTGAAGTAAATTGGATGACTCTTCAAGTTCATACTTTGTGGAAAGTATCCTATTCCCTTGAAAGTCCCAAGCTAAGGCATCATTCTTTGCTGACAATTTCTCACACAGAGAGAAAAAACCATTCCAAGGTAAGCCCTAACATTAGAGAAACTGGTGCTACTATCTACAATCCAAGAGACCCTTAATTAACATCAGGCCTATTCTTGTCTTCTGACGACTGGCTCCAGCTCCATTTGCCCTCAAAACAGCTGTTGTGGGCTGAACTGTGTTCTCTGTATGTTCAATTTCTAATCTAACAGCTGTGAATGTGACCTGGGAGAGGAATAGTCTCTCCAGATACCTTCAAGGAGCGGATTCAAGTGGACCCTAAGCCAGGTACTGGTGTTCTCATAGGAGGAGAGAAATTTAGTCACAGAGAAGAAAAGACATACCAAGGACAGACTGAGATAACAAAGCCATGCATGTGCAAGCTAAGTACCACCAAGGACTCCAACATCCCCCAGGCCCTAAGAAAAGGCAAGGACAAATCAGGACCTTCCCAACCTCTTAATTTCATATTTAGGACTGCTAGAACTCTGGGGAATACCTTTCTGTTGTTTTAAGCTCCCAGGTGTGTGCTAACTGGTACAGCATCCTCAGCAAGGTATGCCATCAATTAGTACTGGTCCCACTGTGTGTGCCTACCTCAGATTAGTCATGGATCCTTTGCCCACTGACTACCTATTTCTTGGAATTTGGGGGGAAGGGACAGAAGGAGGCATCAGTCTGTCCTAACTTGAGCCCTGTGAATTGCCCTAGCTGTTCTGTATACCACAGGGAAGAGCTGGCAGGAGTCCTCATAGAATGATGTAGTGGGAATTTGATTTCTGATTCACCTTTCCTTCTGGGTGGGGTCATGTGGCATATGCTTGCACGCCTCACAAAGACCCTAACAATCACTCATTTTCCTTTACCATTTTATTCCCACCTCTTCTGAAAGTATCAAGATACTTTTTTTGCAACTTCACCAGAAAGAGAGAAAGTAAATTAATCTTGTTAAATGTTTCCCAACTTGTTTCTCTTGTACTGAAGACAAGAACTGAGACTCAGGACAAACTGATGCTCAGTGACAGAGAATTCATGTTGATGCATGTTTATCAGAGTCTAAGTCAGCATCCTTTACACAGCAAGTTCTCTATGTAAACTGGAAAGAGAAATGGACACTATTCAGAAAACATGTTCATTATTTTCTTTGAATTCCAATTTTGGTAGTTTCTCTATGGGTATTCTAGACAATGGTGTGGTCCCCATGAGATAAAGGTATATTTTAAATCAAGTATGTTGTGTATCATTCTTGACAATTCTAGGAAATGGACAGAGCGATCTGAGGAGAGATATTAGAAACCAGAGAGGAAAAATTAACAGTTTTAAAATAAGAGAAAGGACAAAAATAATCAGAAAGAAACATCTCAAATGCAGAGGCTTCAGTTCTGTCTCGCGGCAATAGGTCCGAACACCAGGGAAACTGAGCACAGCTTAGAAAACCCCACTGCAGTGGATGTGAGTCAGCCAACTCCCATCTCAGCTGTCCAGTAGATATCATCCCTTGGAAGAAACATACAGATTTAACAAGATATTTCCAGAAGGTAGGTAGTACAGGATGAAGCCTTCATCAGTTGCTCCCATGGGGGTCAGTTTCTAAGGGCTGCAATGATGGCCTTCTTGCCCTGATTTTTCAGTTGAGAGTCTACTCAAGTAGGAAATCATGGCCAGCTAAGAGACACATGGTCAGTTTCCTTATGGAAGAGGTTTTGTGAAGAACCGTAAGGGCCCACTGACAAGTAGTAGGCCTTCCATGAGTTCCTTCTCAAGTTCTTACCTCCACTCTGCCCCCTAGTGAAGTCTACAGAGCAGCAAGGATAGCCAGCCTCTCTGGAACCTTCCAAAGAAATAAAGGAGGATTCATTCTCTGTGTGAGAGAGGTCGCATGGCTGGTGACTTAGCATACCGGATGAGGGTAGCACCTCAGTTCTGGCTCATCCTCATGCCTGGCTCTACTCAGGACTGAATTCTATGTAGCCAACATGCAGGGCAAGGCTTCATTCTTTAATATGCTGTTGACCCTCTTTCCTGGTGCCAGCCCACTAGGGAAGGACCCTATGAAAGACCAGAGAAACCATGGGCTCTCTTGAGGAAACATGTTCCAGGAGCAGTGGCCTGTGATGCTTGTAGTCAATGGACACAGACTAATGAAGTATTGATAAAAACCACAAATACTTTATGTTTGTGACCCAACACACACACACACATGCACACACACACACACACACACACACACACACACACACACACATGAACTCACACACATACAAACATGACTGGATAGTTAAAAAAGACAAAATTTTTCAAAATTAATGTTTATTTTATTCATTTTAATTCCCTAGGCTCTCATCCTTTGTTGATTTCATAGAGCCTAGTATGTGAACAGTTTGAGAGACTGTGGAAGTCAAACTCCCATGTCATCTGTGAGGTAAAGTATTCTGTCTTTGCTGGAAAGGATCTGGGAATTGGGAGAGCGACAGGAAAAGCAGACACCCCTTTCCTGTTGTTCCCAAAGGGAAAGAAATTCATGTTCAAGGAGCCCTGAGAATGTGAGGAGGAAAGCCCAGGATGACTGTGCCCCCCAAACACTTACACAGGAGTTCAACTGATGAAGGACAATTTCTGCATACCAAAATGGCTTTATGTATTCCTGGGTTTTGTTTTTTGTTCTTTTTTAAATAGGGTCTGGCTCCCTGTGCAGTCCAGACTCTTTTACGCTAATGAAATATGGTGGTTTTATTGAGTCTAAAACACTGTTTTGTTGTGTTTTATAATCTGAAGAAGAGAAGGTTTTACTGTTACTATCAGTTTAGCTTGATACTTACACATTATTATTGATTAGCATGATTGCTGAGTCCTCCTTGTCCCCATGCCAAGCAGCTGTTCCTCTGCCCCTACCTTCCAGGAAGGTCACACCAAGTGCAAGGTCGGGCCCGGACTTAATTTGCCACTGCAGGTGCTCCCTACAGACACTCCCGCTGGACTGAGGACCCAGCCATGTCTCTGCTGGCTGCCGTGCTGCTGCTCTGGGGTGAGACATCCTGGGGCTGAGAATGTCGAAGGCAAGTGTGGTATGAACAAATGGAAACTCACAGACTCTCTCCCTACAGGTTTCACTCTGGACCCAGCAACTGCTGCAGCCTCTAGCATGTTGAGGAATACCAGAGGAAACCGTGAGTGTGGGTTGTGGGAAACCTCTTTCCTAACAGCAGCAAGCTAACCTTAGTTCCTTTGTACTCCAGATACTACCAGTCAACCTATCCTATGGGCAGACCCTGAGTCCCTGCTAGAACCCTGGGCAAACCGGACACTGACATGTGAGGCCCATGAGGCTACCAAAAACCTCCAGCTGCTCAAGGATGGAATGTTCCAATAGCTTGCTCATGTTGATATTTCACCTTCCGTGTCCTACCACTTCCCACTGGGAGCAATTACAAGTGACAATAGGGACCTTTACCAGTTCCAATAAGGCTTGGACTACTCTGGTAGATGGACAGAGATGAGCAATCTCATGGAGGTGATAGAGACAGGTAGGCAGGACTTCAGTGGGGTAAGGAAGCAGTGGAAGGAAGTAGATAGAGGAACCTCCATCCTTGTTACTTGGTATCTCTTAGCCTCAGTTTGCTCATCTGTTAAGTGGGGATGTTTTTGCTTCCCCGGAGACTTATAAATAAGTCCTATAGAGTGATGGGGACATGTCTGGCACAAAGTGGTGTTTTGCTCCCTGTCTCTTATTCTTACCCCAGCCCCAGCCCTGCCTCCCTTATATTTAATGAGTCTGGAGTTCATACATTTGCTGCCTCCAGAGTGAGACTGAAGTACTCACTGACCCTGCTCTCCCTGCTCCACAGAGCCCTTGCCCAGACCCTGCCTTTCTTTTGAGCCAGTGTCCTGGATCACACCTGGCCTGCACACATTCCTAATGTGTGAGGCAGGACTGCCGAATGTAGCCTTTCTGCTGAGGCGGGAAGGAGATGACGGTTTCCTGGAAGTAGCTGAAACCGATCACGTCCTGGGGGCAGCTGAAGTCAAGGCAAGAAACAAGGAACAAGCCATCTTTCTAGTCCACCAACCTGGCACCTACAGCTGCAGCTACCAAACTCGCACCTCAGATGTCCCTTCTGCGCCCAGTGATACTGTGACCATCGAGGAGTATGGTGAGTGTCGAATCCCAGCACTGAAAATCTCCGTGTAAAGACCTGATGCATAGTATCCAAAGATGAGCCAGTTGCTCCTGAGCTGTCACTGGAGGATTGGGGCCAGACAGAGGGCAGTTCTCAGTGGAGCATTACAAAGCAGGATGTCCCTGGATTCCTGCCTCAGTGATCTTCCTTCCCTTGCAGTCATACCACCTCCACCGGTGCTGACCTCCTCCGGAAGTTCCACAGGGATCCTATCCAAGGTGGCCCACAGGACCCTTGTCTGTGAGGCTCCACTGATGGATGTTGAATTCCAGCTGAGGCAGGGCGAGCAGGAGCTGAACCTCCCCTCCATCAGCACCAGCACAGACCAAATCAAGTTCTATCTGAAACTGTCAGACCTGGGTGACCAGAGCCCATTCACCTGCCGCTACCGTCTACACAGTGATACAGCTTGGTCCAGTGACAGTGAACCTATAGAGCTAATGTGGAGTGATGGTGAGTTTCACGGTGGGACTACAGACCCAGGGCAGGTGGAAAGGCAAAGATGGTAGTCAGAAGGGAGCAGGATGGGGACCCCAAAGCAGAACTCCAAAACCTGAACAAATTAACCAGTTAGCCTCAAGTTTCCCGAGCTTCAAAAAGGACGATCCTGCAGAGAATTGGATCACCACAGATGTCAGGCTCAGATCTTGGTGGGACACCGCTTCTCAAGGTATCCTAGAAAAGGTACTGTGGGCTTGCTGCCCGCCCAGGGTTTGCCAAGGCTAGGAGGCTGAGGAAGTGGCACAATATTAAATATAGTGGTACTGGCCAACCAGAAGCAAGCAAGAGAGGGAGATAGGAGGTCACTTTAGGCGAAAGACTCAGCCAGAGCACGGGATGGACCACGCATGGGTCCCGAGCCGTGCCTTCAAGCTGGGCCAATGTGTCTGATCCTCCACAGAGACACTACCCGCACCGGTGCTCACTGCAGAGCCGTCGAATCAAATCGATTTTGAGCCTGATTCGATGGTGCAATTTCGATGTGTCGCCCCCAAGGCTGGCCTGCGCTTTGGCCTGCACCGTGAAGACCCCGACGAGCGCAGCCTGCTCCAGACGATGAAGTCAGCTGGCAATGAAGCCATCTTTCAGTTACACAACGTCTCAGCGTCAGACTCTGCCAACTACAGCTGCATCTACGTGGAACTGGCGCCGCCCTTCTCAGGATCCGCTCCCAGCAAGTTCGTGAAGCTGACTCTGAATGGTGAGCAGAGCAGAGCCACGTGGGTAGGAAGCCCAGTGGGGTGCTCGATAAGGGATCAGAGTTCCTGGACTGTGATCCTGTTGGGGGGGGTCTATGTTGTGCCTTAACGAGGTCTGGGATTTGAGGTCCTTGAAGTGCCCTCCCCCAGGTAAATTATGGAACTCTGGTCTTTTTCCCAGAGTCTGAGCTGGAAGGTGACAGGTAAAACCGTGTTCAAGAGTGTTAGGATCCAAGTTTTTCGTATTCAGATGCACACACCCCCACCCCCACCCCACCAACCCCCACCCCTACCCCTCAACACCCCCACCCCCCACCCCCCCACCCCGCTTCGGTTTCCCTGTGAGGCATGTATGTCAGCTCCACTCATAACCAGCGACTGCCTGTTCTGGCCTGGGGCTGTTCCCACAGGCTTGAGCTAATGTGTAATTTTACAGAGCCCTGGAGTCCCTGGGGTCTACTTGTTCTTCTGATTTCCTCATCCAGGTCTCCGTGGGTCAGAGGTCATCCAGGCAGAGACCACACAGGAGCTTCCAGGCAGGCTTAAGTTTGACCCCAGACCTTTGAACTGTGTTTCTGCCAGAAGCAGCTTCCTGAAAGGTCTCTTCGGCCATCTGGGGAGCCAGTAAAGCCGCGCGACAGGCCAAAGCCTGGCAGATCTCAAACCCGTTGTGATGCTAGGGATCACACACCTAGACTAGATACAAACGGGTACCCAAGGAGCCCGGCAGCAGAGGGAGCTGTGTGACTCAGAGTGGGCAGCGCAAAGAAAGTAGCCAGGGTAGACCCACCGTGGGGCCTGGCAGGAAATGTTCCAAACTGAGTGCTACCCCTTGCACCCCTCCCCCCCAGGGCCACCGCCACCACCAAAGCTTCAGGCTCTGTGGACAGGTAAAGTGCCTGCTGGCCACGATGTTGTTCTACGCTGCCAGAGCAAGGTGCCCGGGGTCACTATGGAGCTGCTGCGTGGTGGTGAACTTGTGCCCTACAAGATACTCAGAATGGCTAGCACCTGGAGTGACCTGGGGCTGTCCTACGTGGGCCCCCAACATTCGGGCAACTACACCTGCCGTTATACCTCCTGGTGGCCTGAGCTCTTCCACTCAGCGCTCAGCAACCCCGTGGAGCTCCTAGTTGAAGGTATGGCTTCCAGGGCTGTGGTTGGGTTTTGCCGCTGTCTTGGCTGGGCTGTGCACCGGTTGACTGTGTAATCCAACCTAGTACGCAAAGGCCCTGTGACAATGTGCCGGGTCAGTTCATCCACTTCTTTGTCTGGAAAGGTGATGTAGCTGCAGACACAGGACACAATGGTATTCTTGGAAAGAGCTGAAGATAGCCAGAACTCCTGTTCTTCCCACTGCAAGACGCGTTTCCCTCAATCACCCTACATTTATTAAAGGTCACACAAGAGATTATTTAAAATGTATGTCTTCCACTTGTGGGTCCAGGGTGGCTGGAGGGGAGGGTGATGGTTTTCCAGGCCTGGGATCCTGTGTCCTTAAAGAGAGTAGGCTCAGAGTTGGATCCTAAGGGCAAAAAGGTGGAGGCCTGGTCCTGATCCCATAGTTCTCAAGATCTCCTTCCCTTGTTCTCCTTTGTCTGACTGCCTCACAGCTCCCAGGCACTTCTTCCCCGTTCCAGCAGGTATCTCCCTACCCTAGCAGTACATTAGAAAATTTGACATTAAAGAATTCTGGCTGTGTTTTTATTTTTTTACAAATATGCTCTGATACAAATATGCTCAAATATGATGAGAGTGTGTCCAAATCAATGCGTTATCCCAAGTGACTCACCTAGAACAAACCAGAACAACCAAACATCTTCAGAGCTGAACCAATATTTTGTTCCCTTCAAGCCTCAGTGGAGCCTGAGACTGAAGCCTGAGGTGATGATCCCTGAAGCAGAAGTAAGGGCCCTCAGCTCAAAACTACCCTGCCTCCCTGACTTCAATCCCACAATCCCCTGTGCCTCTGGTCGCCAGGATAACAGAAATACTCCAGGCCTCCCTGTGACCACCATTCCTTCAGGGTCTTTGGTCAGAGGGCCCTTCCTTCTCCCTTCACCTCTCACGTGCATGCTAAATGCTGACTCATGCTTCAAAGCTGATGGGTTGATTCTTTTTTGTTTTTCCAACAAGTTCTAATTGGAAGTTCAGCACAATCCACAGGCCAATTTGGTTGGGGGAGATCCCAAAGATGAACAACACATGGTCCCTGTTCTTAAACACTATACAATCTAAGGCAGGACAAATGGTTTAGTGAGTGAAAGCTCTTACTGCACAAGTAAGACAATCTCAGGTGTTACCCAGAGTCCATAAAAAAACAGATAGGAAGGATGTGGTGGCATGCATCTGTAATCCCAGTGTTCCTACAATGAGATGGAGGGAGACAGGAGAATAGAGCACCACCAGGCTTGGAGGACAGAGTGACTGAAGAAAGAGACATCCTTCTTGGACATGGGAGAATGAAAGAACACACTCCCCAAAGTTTGTTTTCTTTGATCTTCTGATCTGCATGGACATAATCATGTAACCAACCACACTCACATATACATATCTAATAATAAATAGTTTAGTTACATGCAGTAAGATGCACTCATAGCAAGAGATGCAGTGCAAGAATTCTAGTGAGCTCACACTGCTGGTACACAGACCTCCATTTTGAAGTCCTTGAGAATATCATAATAGGTCACTTAGGCTCTTTGGAGATGTTGCCCCCTGTCATAGCTGGAGTTGTGAAGGAGTATACAGGAATTCTAGGAGATAGGAACCATTTCTCCTAGTATTATTATTCCCAGTTTAGAGATGACTAGACACTAAAGCTTTTGGATGAATTTCCCAAAAGCTGAGTTAATAAACAGTAGAGCTGTTTTTGGTCCCAGTATGTATCAGTCTAAGGCTTGTCTCTTAATCATTAACTCAGCCTGGCTTTAACATCCCCTGGGAATCCAGACACAAGGGATCTCAGGGATGACCTTTTTTGTTTCTGTCTTGAGATCTATCTTACTATATTACATCCCAAGCTAGCTCTGGACTCCTGGGCTTCCTAATCCTCCTGCCTCAGCATCCAAATCACTGAGATTATAGTCATGTGCCACTGTGCTCAGTCTGCTTTGGAGACTTAACAACCAGAAGAAACAGAGGACGACAGGTATCGGCTGTTCTACACAGGGCCAAACCCTAAGCACAGAGAAGGTTTGTGGTGGAAGAAGGTTAATGTGAGGCTGGGAACATACCCAGATGTCATAGGCTCTACAATAAAGCAGGTGTGCCATGGTGTCCATGGAGAGCATGTGTGTGATGTGAAATGAGCATCAGTGATTTGAAAGTGAAAAAAAATGAGATGATTTTTGAATATTTTTGTCAATATGTTCTTTGACAACATAGTGTGGGTCTTCCCATTTCTTCTATACAATGGAGACCATCTGATCTACATTATGGGGCTGTGATAAAGGTCAAATTAAGTAATAACAAATGAGAGACTATCAAACCCATATCCTCGGACACCACAGAAGCTGAATTCTCATGAACTTCTTCTATGTCTTGCAAAGATTTCCCACCATGCTAAGGAGGTGTGTCTGGGCCCATTCATTTCCTCTGCCGCAGAGCAGACAAGAGTCTGAGACCCCTCTCCATACGGCAGGAGAGACCCTGGCAACAATCCTGTCAGGGAGTGGCTTGGTATTGATCCCCAGGCACTGAGTAGGATTTCTTAGATACAAAAAGAATAGGGTCCATCCTTAGGAACAACCAAGGGAACAAGGAAGCACCCATCCCCCAAAGAAAAGAACAGGTAATTGTATCATTAATAATACTTATCATAGTCCCAATGCTTTCTCAAACAAATCCTGGAAAACAAATGATTGGGTATGTCAGAAAAGAGGTCTATTTCTGAACCAGGGATGTGGAGAAGCATGTCCTCCACAATGTCCGATGAAGAGCAAAGCTGTGTCACTGCTTCCTAGGGCCATGGTACCCTGGGCAGGAAGAGCCCTGGTGGGTATTTAGCCCTTTATTTATCAAGTCTGCCTTCAAATAAGTAGTTACCCAAGGAAATAACAACACAAGGAATCCCACTTAGTCATTTTCATTCTTACAATGTGCTCCAAGAGACAGTACCAGGAAGCCATAGGGCTTGTTCAGCTACTATGATGGTTGAAATCGGTTTTATCCTGACATTTAGGATTTAGCTCTTGTGCCACAACATGACTGGCACTTAGCTGCTCAACTCCACAGTCCTTTACTCGGTGTGTTTTACCAACTAAAATCTGGGGATGCTAATAAAACACACCATTTCTTTACTTACATATAGAGGGATTGTCAATGATGGTCTGTAGCTAAAGTTTTCCTGCCTGGCCCACAGTCAGGACAAATCTCTCTCACCCGCCAGTCCCAAGCCGCTCAGACCCAACCAAGTAAACACAGAGACTTATATTGCTTACAAACTGTATGGCCGTGGCAGGCTTCTTGCTAACTGTTCTTACAGCTTAAATTAATCCATTTCCATTAATCTATACCTTGCCACATGACTCGTGGCTTACCGGCATCTTTACATGCTGTTTCTCATCATGGCGACTGGCAGTGTCTCTCCCTCAGCCTTCCACTTCCCAGCTCTATTCTCCTCCTTGTCCCGCCTACACTTCCTGCCTGGCCACGGGCCAATCAGTGATTTATTCATTGACCAATCAGCAACACATTTGACATACAGACCATCCCACAGCAATGGTCAATGATGACAGATTAGAAGAGACAGACAAAGTACAGAATAAAAAGAATTACTCAGAGCACCATGAACAAAACAAAACAAACGAACAAACAAAAACCCCCAAACAAAAGAAAAAACAAAGAAAACCAACAACAACAACAAAAAAGACCCAAATGTGTGAGCATGGTTCCTGGAAAAACTATATTAAACTGTTTGGAAAGATGGTGATATGAGACAACAGCCAAGAAATGGTTGATAGAGCAAAACTCGATCCTCTAGGCATGATGTGACCACTGCTACTTGAAATCAAAGCAGAGCTTGAAATCTACCAGCAAGACACTCTCCAAGTATCACATGGTCAGGCCTATTATACAATATTGTAGGACAGGAGTCATGGGCCCCTCAGCAGAGTCCAGCCCCCATTTTCCTGCTCCCACTGCATGGGCAGTGCCAGAGTTAGAGGCAATGGGAGGATGATGGAGTTGGAACTCAAGTGAAAGTACACCTTTGGTGAATTTTCACTAATACCAGCATGGAGTTTCTCAATGACACCCCTCATCCATGCTCCTTCAAGTAACCCCACACATTAATTGGTTCCAGAGCTAAATTTGACTGGAGACATGCCTGGGATCTGATGGTGTCCAATCTGGAGGAAGTGGGCATTTCTATGTATCTTCCCTTGAAAAGGCACACAACTATTGCTCAAGTACAGATGAAATGTACAGCTTCTTTACAGTCACTTTCTTTAAAGCAAAGTGCATGCAGAACCTGACCACGGTTCCCTGAGGATCTGGGAGTTTCAAGTTGACAGTGACATGTGCCATTCCAATAGGCTAGTGGCAACACACATAAATGTATAGATGCATATAATACTCATGGAGGGACCCAGGAATGAACAAAGATCAAGTAAGTGAGAAACTACATTTGCCTTGCAGGGTAGTGACAGGGTTGGAATCTTCCAGGATCTCCTCTCTCACATGGTGATATTTCAATTGATCTCGATTGAAATCTTAGAAGCCAAACCTTGGACTGTATCCCAGAGAGCTGTGGGACATCATCGGGCCTCATTCTGGGCAGGGCAGAAGGAAGACCTGGTACCTAGGCTAGCCTCAGGGTAACCTGACTCTAGCATGCTCTATTGGAAAAGTCATCTCAAAAGTTCCAGCTTCTGCTATGAGGTAGGCACAACAATGTAAAGGGGGTTTCCAACCTCCTCTCTGAAATACAGAAAACATTCTGACATAAACTTCAGAAGAGTGTGACCCTGTCACAAAATCCTGAAGAGAAGAGTCACATCTTTTGAAAAGGCACATCCCTGTGCCTAACACAGACTGTCCGGTCACATAACATACATTTATCTAAAGGAATGGAACTGTTCTTTGTTTCTTTAATGGAAAATGTCCTCTGCAGAGGTCAACCATGGTAACATTGTATGGAGATAATATTCCTATGACAACCATGTCCTACATCCTCTCTTTAAACAATAAGTATCTAATATGTAGCTTATC